TCTATTGCAGTAGCGGCAAAGGTGTGGCATTATCTGATCAGAAGTTTATCAAGGTAACACGACTCCCATTTCGTGTCACAGCATTACTAATGAAAAATGTAAGGTTCTCTGCTTTTAATGTATTATTGAGTCACCACTTTCCCTATCCTATCACCGCCTCTTGCACGACTAACACCCTCTTCACCTGTGTGCCAGATATCTTTGTTCTTGTTAGATTTTGATAATGTGTCTAACTTGGCACAGAGTTGATCGTATTTTTTCTGTAATTCAATTAATTCAGTTTTCACCCGCGTGTGGTGAGATATCTTGGGTGTCTTTCCTTGCCTTCCTTCCAACAATTGTGGCTCACTTTTTCGCTGTTGTAGCAAGGATTGATAATGTTCTTTGTTTGCAGCAAGATTCTTTTCAATCTCTTGATTCGCTTCATCTAAGACCGTACATTCTACTTGATGGTATGCTTCGTTGACACGTTTCTGAGCTTCAGGACTTTGCATCTTAGGGTAACTTTTCATTGATTTCATCCTTTTGGGGAATGTTCCATTCTCGGCATGTTTTTTATGTTCCTTCGACACATTTTCGTGATACTTTAAGCGTGCATGAACAGCATGCATTTTTCGTCGATACGACTTTAGAACCACGGAAAGATCCTGAGTACTTGCCATCGTCCGCACTCTTTGCGAGCAGGTAAGAAATGAGTGTGGAAGTAGACACTTCGAGTTTTATCATATTGTCTACATCCTTCTCCGTTATGTCTAACAAACTTTAAAAGAACGTGCACTTTAAAATATTAATTATAATTATTCAAAGTGCGTGCACATATAGAACTAATTTGCTATTTTTCTTATATATAAAACGGAACTGATCATCTCGTTCATTTGAGTAATATGATTTATTCTTCTTCACGTGGACTCACTCGTTCTAGTCATTTTATCACTCAACTCTACTCATTTCGTGGAACATACACTCGCGGTAAGACATTACCACTAACAAATCAAATTCTGGTGTGGGGGCTTCACGAAGGCGAGTGAAAAACGTTTGGGTTTCATATAAATACATTTCTTGCTCATAGTCTTATTCGGTTAGAATAACATAGCTAATCTAACCCGCGAAACTCAAACGCGTACTCTCGGGTCCCATTATTTTTTCCCAATAACCCAGGTTCGAATCCTGGTCGCACCACTTTTTTTTTTCTTTTTTTTTTCCCATATGGAATTCTCATATGACACAGGTATATAAATCTCCGTTATACAAGTATTGGAAGGGGGTTATTGATAATAATCTATCAGTGATTCCTTTTCAAACCTTTTTTTTTTCTCACAATTTGTTTTAAAAACACAGCGAAATATAACAAGTGCTGGATCTGGGGCAATAGAATATCGACAATCACGCAGAACAAAAAATTTTAAAAAAATTGTTTTGATTTTTGTTTTAGAGTAATAGAAAAATCCGAGTCCCAGATGGGACTTGAACCCACGACCCTCTGGGGCTCGGAATTTTCTATTACACTAAAATTGTTTCATCTTTTGTTCAAGAGAAGGCGAAAACCATAAGGGGAGGAAATTATGCTGGCCCCAGGCAATGCCTAATACCTTGGCTACTCCCGCATCCTAAAACAAATGAACAAAATCAAAAAGTTGGAACAAGTTCACCATTCTCCGCGTTTCGAATCTAGATTTTTCAGTGTTCTACTTTCAGTTTTTCACCAACATTACTTTATTCCACTCACACTTCGCTCACATGTGGGAAATCGGACAAAAACGTATCGGTAACGTTTCGGTGACGATAGGTTCAGGTTCGAATCCTGGTCGCACCACTTTTTTTTCTTTTTCTTTTCTTTCTTACTTTTTTTCTTTTTTTTTTTTTTTATCAAGCAGACGCAGCCGAAGGCTGCGTTCTCTTCCGGAAGCCGCCCGAAGAGAAGAAGAGAGGAAGAAAGATGAGAATCCATTTTTGTGAAGTAAATTAAAGTAAATTTATTCCGACTATGTAAATAATATGTGTGAAGGTGTAGTCTGATCGTCCGGGTGAGTGTAGTCCTGAGAAGGACTGTTGTCGGTGGTAGTGACTGACGTTTCGACAACCTGTGCGGAAGTCATCATCAGAGTCAAGTGAAGGATTGTTGTCAGTAGAATGTTCTTATTCCAGTTCGTGTGAAATGATCGGTTGGTTTTGCCGTGATGTTATTGGCTGTAAGACTCAAGTGACGTAAGTCGGTCGTGATTGGTCTGTTTCGATCTGTCGGTAAAGTTAGGTCGTTCTTTTTCGGTCGTTTGTGATGTTTATGTCGTGAATGAGTCGTTTGTATGGAGCGGGTAGTTGTTGACATCTGTTTAGGGGAGTCTGTTCTAAGTTAGTAAACCAGCTTTCCAGAGTCAGTCGTTGAAAATAGTCAGTGCTGTAGGTTAGGCATTGCGCAGAGTCCCAGTCAATGTTGTGGTTGGTAAGTCGATGGTGTTCAGCAATGTGATTGCTGACATCACCTTNTGCCGATCATTTCACACGAACTTTAATAAGAACATTCTACTGACAACAATCATTCACTTGACTCTGATGATGACTTCCGCACAGGTTGTCAAAACGTCAGTCACTACCACCCACAACAGTCCTTCTCAGGACTACACTCACCCAGACGATCAGACTACACCTTCACATGTTACCCCCGGGTTCAAGCCATTTACTGCATTAAATGATGTATCATTAAAAATGCACAAAAATAAAATAGCTTTCCATGCTCTACCAAGCGTTTCATGTCGATTTTCCATGTACGCATGCGTAAAGATTTGAGCATGCGCAGAAATTTTTCTGTCTTTCTGTCCTACATGGATGGGACTTCCATTACGGATTCATATATATACCTAAACCAACTTTTACACTAAATAACCACATTAAGGCATCTGCCGCTCACGTTTACGTCAGTTATAATCCGTGAGAGGATGATGACATCATACACATACATACACGACTCACAACTTCGGCTGTACTTCGGCTACACGGCTCTTTGTACCAATTTGATCGCACTGTTTTTTAATTTATTTACAAACCCGGACCCAAGCCCTGCCGGTTCCCCATGGTAGACGTCCTAGACTCCTCTTAATAATCACGACATATATAGAGGTCACATAAATATAACAAATCAGTACGTTTATGAAAGTCCAACATAGCATCTTTGTTGTCTTTTCCCAGAGTTTGATCACGAGGCACCTTGTATTTATCAGCAAATGTTCTCTTGTCACTCTGTCCACATGTTCTGTTCACTGATAACTCATTTGATTTCTGGTTTGATTCTAGAGACCGAAATCATTTGATTCTTTCAGTATTTTGAGTTCGCGGAGCGACCGGTTCGAAATACGCTCATTACACACGCCATCTTTTAGAGAGGGTCTACCGCGAACGGTGTGTGGGTCTGTATCAAGTTGAACGTAGAAAAGATGACAGAAATTGTTAACACATTCGACATATCCGCCATCTTCGAAATCGTGGAAAAAAGGTTGCGCCTTTATTATTACGTGTGTGCGGTATTCCCCATTGCACGTGATGATCTTTGTGGAGAAACCCGAGGGTGTATCTTCAGTCTGTGGCCCGACTAAAAACGAAACAGGGTGGCCAAGATGGCTTAGGGCTGCTAAAGACGAAGAATACTAAAAAAAAACACGAGTTGTAATTTGAAATTACAATTTCAACGTTAAAACCTTTTAAGACGAACAAACTACAGCTTGGACTTTATTAACTTTTTTCTGTCAAAAAGCTTGAGAATGTTTCAGTAGAGATGGTTTTTGCTATAGAATACAATACCATTGGGTCACATAACGCAAGTAGAATCTTTGCTATCATACAACAGAGTTAACTCTTCTTCTTAGAAAATGTGCGGCCAAATTTGCGATCTGAGATATCGCTAAAGAAAACCTTATTTCCAACAATGTTGCCTTGTTTCTCAAATTCCACATTAGTGTATACTTTACTGGAACGTATCGTATGCAATCGTATACTTTACTGGAACGTATCGTATACACCACAAAAGAACAAGACACGAGCATTCAGAGCTAAGACAAGAAATGACGTCGTTGCTACCGTAAGACATTAATTTTACCCTTTCGTCCTCCGAATTTGCTTCATTTGTCACTCACCTTTGATTAAATTGCAGCATAAAACGACGAATTCTCAAAGACTGTTCTCAGTCCCGTCATGTTATGAGTACAATTCATAGTTGCCCTCACTCGATTCAGATCTAGGGGTGACTATTGCACCCATTTTGACTATTGCGTTAGTATTGCGATAGTTGAATCACCATTACAATAGTATTGCGATAGTGGTGATACTATTGCAATACTACTGCGATAGTGACATTGTAGTGTGACAATTAGTATTTCATTGAGATAAAAAGATATATTTGATATAAATGCCCTATTCAATCTTCTCTGTACAATGTAAGTTATACAAAATTGAGAAAAAAATAAAAATCCACTGATTTTCTGCATTTTTGTTATGTAAATTGAACATGATAGTATGTCACAGAAATTCCTATCAAACATCTCACTTCAGTCTTATTAACTTGAACTGTAAACAGCCGTTAATTTTTAAAGCAAAGTAACACATTTTTGGATACAAATTAACTCTTATATACTATACTCACTTCATAAGAGTTTTTGTAAGTTTGTGAATCATTCATTTGAATTATCAACAAATGTAATGAAATACTGAGATCTTCCAGAAACAGGGAAAATGAGCAATAAATACAGTCCAGTAGCAGATGGCTTCATGCAATGATTTTGCTAAGGATTCCAATTCTTCTTGAGAAAAACTAATCTATCTACATGTTCCATACGCTGGACTTCGCTTTCTTGTTTGGAACAATTTCAAAAGATTCCTCACAGGTCATTGCTTTTGAGAAAAAGCCATAGAGCAACTGGATCGGATGTCGCAATGCTTCCTAGAGGGGGGACAATAAAATGTTTTCCCGCCATTTTGAATGCGAACATGAGCCTGGAGGCGAATTTAGAAAACAAACATGGTGGGCCATGTCGGGGAAGACTGTTTTGGCGGGAAATTGTCCCGTATACTTGGAATAATGAACAGCACAGACAGACGAGAAGAAAAGAGGAATTTCTTAATTGAAGGAAGACGCTTCAGGAGATCATTTAAAAACTATTGTAACTATCGATATTTTATGAAACTATCGCGATTATTATCGATAGTTAAACTTGGTATTGATTTATTGCTATCGGAACACTTACAATCGTGATGCATCAATAGTTCCATGAATCGTTACACCCCTATTCAGATCTGTAGTATTTTGGCATGTCCAACTCAAAGAAAAAGTCGTCGTGTTCATTATCCAAGTGTCATCTTTCTCCGGGAGAGTCTCAGCAATAAATACCACAGGAAACGAAATACGTCAATGCAGTGAAGCTTTTCCATTCAAGTAAACTCGTTCATAACTGACACTGTTGTGTTGTGTTGTGAACATCGATTTCCGATGAGTATGCAATCCATTCTAGCATTCCTTTTGCACTTTGTTGTCACTTTTCACATTAATCCACTTTCAAACAACATATCTGTCATTCATGCACCCCGTATGGTCATGTAAACATATCAAACCTTTCAGCCAAATTTCGCAAGCCATTTGCCATTCTTTGCTATGTTTATTAGAATGGCTGCCATTAATAAACCTCTACAGACCCCAGATGTTATGCGACTCGTAAAAGAACAAATTTTCCCTCCAATGAATTGCTTTTTTGTCTTATTCTCGCGTCAATAAGGACTGAATCTAAATTTGATCTTTACTATAGCATACCTCGCGCGTTATTGTTTTGAAAACTTAAAATCATTTACAGCAATAGTACAATGGGCATCGTATACTCAAGATGATAATACCCGATACTTCTCTTTCAAATCCGCTGGAATGAGCTGGACTCTCGGTTAGCGGAATCTATTAAATAAGCGGAAACAAAAAACGGTGTGGATCAGCTAACGCCGCTTCCCTGACAACCACAATCTTCATTTGTCACTCGATCATTGTTTCCCTCGAGTCCAGTGTCTTAAAGTCTTAAAAAGGTTCCACATCAGTGTGCCCCGGGCTCTAAGGTTTATATGGATTCATAACGACATTTGAAGGTTTAATGTGAGTTTTATTCTTCTATTATTCTCTGTATATCGTTCATGCAGTCTAAGATTAATCTAGGTCGTCTTCTGTAGAGCAAAATCTTAGCTCTTATGCGTGATTGGTTTTCTAAAGCTTAGTAACCAGCCGCTGACCGGGAGATGAGCCCATGTACAAAGACCGAACTTGGAAATGAGGCGCAAGTCGAAGCTATGTCGGCCTCTTCCTGATTCGAAACCTTTCATTAACGCCTTTCCTTGAATCTTTGTGAGGGTTTTCATACAGCAATCACAAGATATGTTTCCAAGAGTCTTGGATTTATTACAACGTTTTGTTTACACTCCTGTTAGGAAAGCGTAATAATGAGTTATGACGCAAAATGTATCACAAACGCAAAGTACCTTAACATTGATTTATGGTATGTCATGCAGCTACAGGAAGACGGGTTTAAAGAATAAAACACGACTGCTTTCAACAAACCTAAAACGAAGCAAAGCAAAACGAATGGAAAACAAAGAAAAGTGGATGACAATAATTCAAACTGACCGAAAGGTTTACGCCCTCACCTTCGAGGAGCATGAAGTGGTTCTCAGTTCTATGGCGTCACTGCTCGTTTTAATGCGTAGGCTCCCGAATTCCTTTTTTATGTGATCTCTGTTTTCAAAAACCATAAATTCTCTAAATCAGCTCGTCAAACTAGTAACCTTTGCCAATTTCTTTGCCAGCTGATATCCTTCCTGCCAATTATGCCACCGAATATTGGCAAGCTGACTCTTCCTGAATTGACTTGAAGGATCCTCCTTGAAATTTCGTGGCAGTCTTCTTACGTTATCAGTGTTTTATTCTGAGTAGTATTTTTTAATATCTTCTTTCAATTTTTGTTGAGAAATGTTTGTTTGTAACTGGGACCGTCAATGGAATCTCGCGTTCCTTAACATGGAAGGCATAAAGCTGCGAAGCAAACGAAAAACTTCAAGCTGTAGAATGAAAGGATGGATTCTCATAGCATTAACAATCTAGCTAATAGCCAATTTTCAGAAATGTTGCTACAGTAAAGCTTAAAACTTAAAGTATTGACGAGCCTGTACGACTCCTACCATTCGCAAGCGATCTTAAAAAAACACTCTTGCCTTCAGAAATTATGTAAACAAAAACAAACGCGCAGTGGACCTGGATACTTTAAGCTCTAACGTGTATTCCAATATGTTTATTCCGTTTCCTCGGAAGTCTCAGGGGCAGCGCTGTACCATGGACTTGTTTCATCATAATTGTTCAAGTCGCAGTATGGTTCGTCCCTGGTCATTATCTCCTCCAGTCTGCTAATCAACTCTGGGAAACTGGGGCGAGTTGTTGGATTTTCTCTCCAGCATTCAGTCATCAAATCATATCTAGAACAAGTCCAAGAACATGACGTATCAATCAAGATAAAGAAACAAAAGTTAAAAAATCATCTTGATAAGAAAAACTAGAGGTTGACCCTATGATGTTTCCCTTAGTAAAAGATAAAAACAGGCATAAGCTCTGTACAATATCAAACATTAAAGAATTATTTACCAGAGATAGCTTGAATAGCCGACAATCTATGGTAACAATGAATAAACAAAACAAACAGCTGATGGATATTTAGAAAGCGCTTTAGCGCGCTTAAAACCGCTCAGGCTCCTAGCCTCAACGATGGATCCTGGCAGACTATTCCAATTCCGTACGATTCGGATAGGAAAAGAATCTTTATATGGATTACACTTAGCTTGATTAACGTAAATAAAATATACAACTCTAAAAGTGACAAAAGCCTTTTTGATTGAGTTTCATCGCAGGTAAAGTAGTTTCCTTGATTTAAGGAGTGCCAGTTGATCTTTTTGTCTGATGGACTGGATGAAAATATTTCTAAAGGGCTTCATGGGAGACAGTTACCGAATTTTGAATAAGCTAACCGGAATTCATCATCACAATCAAACAAGGAGTTGTTAGTCCATCGAATTTAAAAAGGTCTGGTCGGTGAGAGGTGAGAATGTGAGCAAAGTAAAGCGAAAAAAGTAAAACAGGAGTAGATAAGGACCAAACCGGAAAAAAAAATTGAAAAAAAGAACAAAAAAGGAGAAGGACTAAAACGACAAATGAGCAGCTGAGGGAAAACAATCAATCATAGTGAGAGTAAATAATTTGGATATATCAACAAAGTTGAAATGGTAAATTGGCCACCGTAACGATTACAAAAGTAAGTTTTTGGCACATAGCTCTAATGGTACCATTAGAGCTATGTGCCAAAAACGCAATCACCTCACCAAACAATATCCTACATTGCCGCTCTGAACTTTCCAAAATCTGTCCAGCAGTTTTATTACAATCTATGCGCGCCAAAAATTCAGGAAACTAATTGGAAACTTTTTAATCATTTGAACCAAATTAAGACCCAAAAACTTGACCAACTTATGGGTCCCCAAATCGCTAACCACTCATCACCAGAAAACCTCAAAACTGTAGTTACGATTCCAGAAAACCTCTCACTTTCCGATTCAGTAAAATCCATCCTTAGTAAGGGCTTAAATTTCGTTCCCATTTCTAAAACAACGGACGGATTCTCAATTAAACAAGACGTAGAAAAATTCCTTCGCCGCGCTCAATTAAAAGCCTTTTTTCACAACAAAGAGGATGATTCTAACACCCCGAACACAGACACTTTCAAAACACTTCAGACTCGAAAGTCTAAATGGACTCCTCCAGAGGGCCAATTCGCATCATTGGACTTTTTTATCAAAAAATGCCGCCACGATATCAACAAATTTAATTTCAAACGTATTACCAAATTTTCTAAATCTCTCTCCTGAAGAGTGGTCGCCTCTAAAAAGCCTTAGAAAACGCAAAGACATAGTTATCAAAGCGGCCGATAAGGGCGGCTCAGTCGTTGTTTGGCTCACCGACCTCTACCAAAAAGAAGCTTTGCGCCAACTTTCTGACACATCTTAAATCAAAAGGTCGACAAAGACCTCAATGCCAGTAATCAAAACACCGTCAAGAATACGATCAATCAACTCATAACTAAACAAGAATTGTCGGCCACAGCAAAAATATCTCATCATAACCACTCCTAGAACTTCTTGTAATTACTTCTTACCTAAAGTTCACAAACCTTACAACCCGGGTCGGCCCATTGTCTCGGCTTGCAGTTGCCCTACCGAACTTATCTCCAGCTATCTAGACAAAATTATGGCTCCCATAGTCAAAACTTTACCATCATATATTAAAGACAGCCAACACGCTCTTCAAATTTTTCCAGACTTTGATTTCCTTGGCCAAAACAAACTTCTTTTCACCATGGATATTACGTCTCTTTATGCTGTCATTCCTAATGGCGAAGGCCTTGTGGCCCTTAAACATTTTTTTTCCTCAACGTACTGTTAAAGAACCTAAATCTGAAACACTACTACGCTTAGCCGAACGTGCTCACACTCAATT